CCTCTTTGTCCCCCGTTATTATGCATATTATGTCGTCCACATATCTAGCGTATGAACACCTCCATGAGTATAGCCGATGTTGGGTTACCCATTCCTAGTACATTTATTTGTCTGTATATTTTTTTGTTAAATCGGAAATAATTTTGGTTTATCGTAGTCTTCAAAGTATTGATAATTTCTTTTACGATGTTCTTTTCCGTTTTGCCGAGTAATATTCTAAATAAAATATCCATCGTCTCTGTTGTTGAATTGACGGGTAAAGATCGTTTATGTCAAATGATACCAATTTAGTATTATTAGTGAGATGTAGGGGTGTCATCTTTTCTATAAGCTCTGACGCGTTTGTGACTATATATTTATTGGGTAACTCTAGTTTGTTCTTTAGTGTGGTCTTCAGGTATTTCGAGAGTTTGTATGCCGTAGCCAATCTGTAGTTAATAATCGTTCTCATCGGGTTACCTGGTTTATGTATTTTAGGTAATGAAATCATTGGAGGGGCCGAAGGGTTCATTGATGTTAGTCTTCCTGCTTCATTCTCCTTTCATATCGTTGTCGCCCTTTTTGTCGCGCTTTTTATTGCCACTTGGTACTCATCAGTGGGATCATTTCCTATTTTCTTGCAGCCTGTTTCTTTTATTACTTGTTCCGTTTTTTCTATGTATTCATTTTTATTGATCAATAGCGTTGTGTTCCCTTTGTCTGCTTTTGTTGTGATCACGTTGTTCGCCTTTAGTTTTTGTTTTAGAACCCTGATTATTTTGTTTTCGTTATCCTGCTTTCTTTTGTCATTGGATTTTGCATGTTTTTCAATTATATGCCTACATAGGTGCCTGGTGTGATCCTGCTCTTTTTTGGGATCAATGCTATTTATAGCCATTTCTGTGTTCACAATGGTGTGCTCCATTTCCTTCTTTTTATCATAGTTTGTGGCGTTGTGTTTAAGACCTTCCCTTAGTATTTCTGCCTTCTGCTCATTGATAAGGACCGCTGTTAAATTTACAAAATTTGAATGGAATTGCGGTTCTGCTAGTTTTTGGTTCTTTGCGCCCTTTTGTTTTCTACTGAGGTCTTCAAGTTTCTTGTTCAATTTTCATTTATGCATGACCTGATGACAGTTAAAACAAATAGTAACACGAATACATAAAAAGTGGAAGGAAACACGAACTATTCAAGACGAAAAATGACACTGAAGATGGCACAACGACGAAACCGGTTTGTCTCCAAACCAAATTTGACAAGGGATGACGGAAAATCGTTCCACAATACATAATACTCCTACCCTGTCGGAAACACAAACAACCAAAAAGAAGTTATTGAGGCCGGTCAGGCACATCAATTAAGGACAAATACGCTTTTGACAATATACCAAAGACGGCTACTGAAAGTACATAGTACTAAGGCTAACACCTGGTTCAACAATCAATGTGGGGAATTGAATATTACACCGAAATTCGCGCAAATAAAACTAAAATCAAACACCGAGAATAAGCGGAAAATCTTAAAAAGAAGAGAAAACGGCAAGAGAGAGCGGATCAACTCAGAGCTATTGGCAATTCACCTAGAAATAGCGGGACTCCTACCAACCAGTACACTGATGCAGATATTAGATGAAATGGAGGAAAACATCAAGAAAGTCATGGGGCAGAAGTACAAAAAATTGAACAAGAAACTTGAAGACCTCAGTAGAAAACAAAAGGGCGCAAAGAACCAAAAACCAGCAGAACCGCAATTCCATTCAAATTTTGTAAATTTAACAGCAGGAGGAAGAAATACTGAGGGAAGGTCTTAAACACAACATCTATGTTAAGAATTGAGCGAATTTGGTGCGATGTGGCATCAACGAAATGTAATGAAATAAATGAATGTCGAGAGCAAGAAGAATGTAAGAAATAGAAATGAAACAGTAGTAATTTGAATTCAGCCAAATAAACATCGTTGAGTTTTTATACTATTTTTCCCAACGTTAAAAAATGTATCTGAGTTTTATTTTAATAGTTCCTGTTAGAAGAAACATTGGTCCGTGTCGAGCCGGATTTGTGATCGGCCTCGATATAGATAAGAGATAATTTAGAAGTGCTTACATACATGCGTGTGTGCAAGAGAATTTGATGGCGAAATTCATATCGCTTGCTGGAGTGCTCGTCGGCATTTTCTAGTGGTTTCAATCAGAGAGACGGTTTTGTTTCATCGGTTCTGTGTGCGCATGCTCATAGATAACGAGCTTTGCGCAAGCTCTGGGATATGTAATGGTGTTTGTTGGGGAGGAGTTGAGCTGTGTATGTGTATGCACACATATATGCGTGTTGATGGGCTTTTGAATGGTTTCAGCGGGGCACGAAATACAAGCTGGATTCGCGTCTGTGACAACGACTATATTAATGGCAACCGACCTCTTTTGAAACATTATTATTGCGAGAAGAAAAATGATTATGCCTTGAAAATGGTAAAGGTGAAAAGAGCGAAGAGAATGGAATTCTATAGAATTTGTGAAAGGATCATGTGAAAGAAAGAGGATGAGAAAAGTATTGCCATGCGTATACATATATTTGCGTATATGTGTATGTACATGTACTATGTGTTACAGTCCACTAGACGGTATTTATTTCTGTTGAGATAGATACATACATATGTATGTATGTGCTGGGGGTGACGACAGATAGTTGCACCTTTTAAGGGATACAGAGAAATTGCCAAAAGTGCATACACACGGCAATACGACGGCGTCAAGCGACAAGAAGAATTGCGAATGTTCTAGAATTGAAATCCATTTGGACGATATTCTAGATTGCTTGCATATAAGATAGAGTGAAAAGGTATCAGAATAAAAGAATATCAGTCGCATCGTTATGGATGCTGGCGTCGTCTAAGAAGCGTAGTTGATGAAATTATTTGGTTAATCGTGAAAAGGACAGTTTGTGACAAGAACATAGCGCGCTAAAATTTTGAGAAATATTTCTTATTATTATTTTAACGAGATATTGTTGGAAGACAGTGAGTCTATCTACTTTACTGTTTGTAGAAGTAGAGAAAAGTGTATAAAGATTAGAAATGGGAAAATTAACATATTCTTTTTATTGTATAGACAGCAGGATGGGAGGACAAGATCTTTTGGATAGTTTGTGCAAATCAATTTCCCGCATCATGGAGTACTGTCAACATGCCGAGTTCAAAAACGCAACGCTGGAGCAAGTTAAAGTTCGTGCTGAGAAGTTGGAAGCGTATTATGCACGATTTGTAGATGCACATGAGAAGCAGTTGGATCAAGATGCTACACAAGCAAGTACATATGACGACATCGCAGCTTTAGTGGAGTCGCGCTATTTTACAGCACAAGCCCTGTTGGCTGTTAAGATCAAGGAGCTCACACCTGTGTCAGCGCCAATTTTGCATGAGCAGCAGCCCTTCGCGGTCCAGGTAAACATACCATATCAACAGCATGACTTAAAAAATACCTGGGGTAATTTTGACGGAACATTAACTATGTGGTCTGGGTTCCGTGACCGGTTTTCAGCTGGCATACATGAAAATAAGAATGTTTCGCCAGCCTTTAAATTTTCTTATTTAAAAAAGTCGCTCATTGGTAGAGCTGCACAAACACTCGGTGAATGGCAGCTTACAGATGATAATTATATAGAGGCATGGGAGCGGCTCAAGCAGCTGTATGACCGCAAATATCCAATTTGTCGCGAACATTTACGACAGTTTATTCGTTTGCCAGTTATAGGAGGGGTGCCACGGGCTCATGAGCTTCAGCGAATGTCCAATGTGACACATGAAGTGTTACGACAGCTCCGAGCTCAAGGAATTCGGGTCGATGCTTGGGATATGATTATAGTTCATATGCTGCATGAAAGGTTAGATCCTGATACGAGCAAGCAGTGGGAGCTGCAACGAGAGACGGAAACACCGACTGTTAAACAAATGCTAGATTTCTTGGATCGCCAAGCAGCTGCCTTAGTTAATGTTGCAGATCTACGTAATTCACGACCACAAGACGGCAAGGCAGTTTATAACAATGACCGAAATACAATAGTAAACGTGAACGTATAACGAAAGGTGAAAATTTGAACCAAAGCAGATTGTTAGGTAAGAGATCATTTCCATGTGTCGCCTGTAGTGGTGATCGTCCACTATGGATGTGCGATGATTTTGTCGCGCTCAACTTAAGATCTCGTGAGGAGTTTGTAAGAAGAAACAATATCTGCCAGAATTGTTTCAAGAAAGGGCACGGAGCTGGTAATTGTTTTCAGAATGGGTGTTCTCGTTGTCCAGGGCAAATTAAACATAACAGCTTGCCTTGTCCAATGAGGGAAGTGTCAAAACAAGCACTAGCGGTTAAGGTAGAAGACAGTCATCGCAGACGTAAGGTCAAGGGCAAATTCGGAGCTCAAAGCGCCAAACGGCATCGTAGTTCGGAAGTTGGGTATGCTCATCCTGTACAATCAAATATTGCAGATGACCTTGATACTATTAATGAAGAGATAAAGAAAGTCGACATGCAAATGAGTTTACTAGACAAACAAGAACAATTATTAAAAAAACGTAAATCGCTTAGTGGCATAGAGAAAGATCGTAACGAAAAGATTGAGAAAGAAATAAACTCCAGTGTAAACTGTTCTACGTCTTTTAATTTTAATTTGGATTCGTGGCCTGCTTTGTTGCCCACTGTATCTATAAGACTGGAAACAAATGGTCAGATTTTCGGGCCAGTTCGAGCACTGCTTGATTGTGGCGCACAGCCAAACTTTGTTGCTGCTTGTCTCTGTGACAGATACCAATTTCCGATCTTACCAACATCGCGCAAGATGGTCGGTATAGAGGGAAAGTCGTTTGGAGTCAATCGACGCACAGTTCTTAAGATAAGACCGTGGTTCCAATCAGATGGATACATAGAGGAAGAATTTTGGGTTCTACCTAAGGCAAACAATTGGCAACCAATGCTACCAAATGCTAATTGCGAGTTGAAACCAGTGTCAGCTACATTTGCTGCACCACTCGCTGATCCAGAATATTCGACACCCGGCATAGTGCAAGTGGTGCTCAATGTCAAAATTTTTGCAAAGATTTTGATCGCCGTGCATTCACATGACTCTAGTGGCATGGTTTATCTTGAAACACATTTGGGGATGGTAGTCTGTGGAGCGCATGCGGGACAAAGCGGTATTGAAACAGGGGATATGATGTCATATACATGTTGCACAAGTGCTGAAGAACTGGGTGAGTTGGTCAGGCGATTCTGGCAGCTTGATCAAGTAGCTACGTTCTCAAAGCGGACTGAAGAAGAAGAAGGGTTGAAAAGATATTTATGGAAACATATACAAGAGATGCTACGGGCAGGTTTGCTGTTACGATTCCATTGAGAGAAAACATAGGCGACATTGGTAGTTCAAAAGAAATAGCTTTGCGTTGGTTTACGTTATTAGAGAGAAGATTAGACAAAGATCCTGAGTTAAAGAAACAATATACTGACTTTATGAAAGAATACGAGCGGCTGGGACATATGGAGCTGGTATCGAGGACAGCTAAACCAGGAGAACTGGTTTATTACATTCCGCATCACTGTGTAACAAAAAAATTCAGGGTAGTGTTCGATGCTAGCTGCCGCACAGCTAAGGGTATTTCTCTCAATGAAGTACAACTGCTAGGTGAAAAGTTGCAACGTGATTTGACGGAGATAGTACTAAGATTTCGTAGGCATAAAATTGGTATCATAGGCGACATAAAAATGATGTTCCGCCAAGTGCGAATAGTCCAAAGGCAATGGAATTTGCAGCGAATATTTTGGAGAGATAGTACAAGCGATCCAATAGGAGAATATTGGTTGAAGGTCGTAACATACGGTATGACATCATCAGCATTTAATGCTGTTCGAGCAGTGATACAGTGTGCGAGGGATGCGGCAAAGGACCACCCACACGCCTCTAAAGGCATTAAGAATGATTTATATATGGATGATTGCGCCACCGGATCCAGGAATGAAAGTGAGGCGATAAGATTGGCAAAAGATATTGATCATATTCTAAAAGGTGGTGGTTTCGAAATGAAGAAGTGGAAATCGAATTCAAAAAGGCTCGTAGAGGAAATGCGATCAGAAGAAGAAGAATCATCGTTCATGTTTGTAGACGAAGAGAAAGCATCGGTCTTAGGGTTGAGATGGAAGGTCAACCACGATCAGTTTACCTTTATGGTCAAGACTCCAGAGCTAGAAGGTGTGATCACCAAGAGAAAGGTTTTGGGCTGTGTAGCTCAGCTCTATGACCCGAATGGTTTCATTTCCCCTGTAACTATTTTAGGCAAGATTATTATTCAGGATTTGTGGCGCATTGGTTTATATTGGGACGAGCCTGTACCTGAAGAAATAGCAATAAGGTTTAAAAATTATTGGCAGGACATCAGACGTCTTGAAGAATTTGCGCTGGACAGATGGATTGCTACAGACATAGATAAGGAAACTGAAATACATGGATTTTCTGATGCATCAACGATGGCATATGGTGCTGTAATCTACATACGAGTTGTGCAAGAAGATGGATAGGTGAAAAATGCATTACTAACATCAAAAACACGTGTTGCACCAATGAAAACAATTACGGTGCCGAGACTAGAATTAGCAGCGGCAGAATTATTATCACGTTTGCTTGTTTATGTAATAAAAGCAATGGAATTTACTAAAGTTGACTACACTTTGTGGACAGACTCGCAGGTAGTGCTACATTGGATAAAAAAGATACCGCGAGACCTGAAGACGTTTGTGGCTAATAGGGTAGCATCGATACAAACAAATACTGATGTGAAGAGATGGAGATATGTTAACACGAAGGATAATCCTGCTGATTTACTAAGCCGTGGCATGAGTCCGTCAGAAATCATACATATAGACTAGGGCGGGTCAATTTTTTTTTCGACATCGTTCCTAGCAGATTCGGATTCTACATATAATTCTAAGAAAAAAAGCCCTTTAGACCATTGCTCTAAAATCAATTTCGAGCCTGCGCAATTTTAAAAGAAAATATTTTTAATTAATACTGAGTCCATAATCAGATTAATATTTACTAAAGTGTTAGGAATGTTTTTTTTTGTAATAAAGAGTTGTGCTCGGGAGTTTTGTGATACGAAAAATTAATATCTGATATATATTTTTTATTTAAAGAACCGCAAGATGGCGCTTCAAAGCAAATCTTCTATATATTTGTGGAAGTATGTATGTATGTATGTACCAGGTTGCAGCCTGAACGGATGTACGGAATCGAATAAAATTTTGCCAAAGTATTGTCATGACTCCTGGACCTATAGGGTAAAAAAATTGAAACTCGTCAAGGGGGGGAGGGGGATGAGGGGTACCTCCCATAGTGAAAATTTTTAATTAGCTCTAACTTCGGAATTATAGTCACATGAACTCGAAATTTGAAATGCACAGATACCTATGGTAGGTGCTTATGGAAAGATATATGTATATAAATGAGTTTGTAAAAAGGGGCGTTGCACATCTCATAGGTGTGGAATCTTTTATCAGCTATAACAGCAGGCAGTATTAGTGATCTCATTATATTGCATTTTGAAGATTTGTTATAATTGATCAAAGTGAAATTCAAATAAATTATAGATGATATGAAGTTCACCGGGTCATCTTCTAGTCTTTAATATATACTCAGTTAATATACGGATAAATATTTACTAAAGTGTTACGAACGATATTTTTTTAATACAATAAGAAAAAAATAACTATGATTTAAAGGAGTGACACACAATGGCTAGAGTCGTCGCATGTGTGTATTCTTTCATATACATATATATGGGCCGTTCTTACGGTTTATATATTTTTCATCCACTCGCTTATTCCTTACCGAAAATTTTAAATAAAAATGTAACAAGTTTTAACCGCTGATACAGTACAGGTAGCAGTTTAAAATGGGTAACTGGGTAAACTTAATAAAGAAAACATATTCTCTGGCTAAATTAATAAGCCATAAGATAACATAAAATCCCAAGCTTGATAAACATTTGGTGTTATAAAAGTTTTATAAAGCTCTACTTGTAATTAGGAAAAATGCAGAAAAAAATTATAAAATTAATTGATTGATTGATAAAAATAGAGAGGGAGTTATGGCTATGACAATAGAAACTAGAAAAAAGATACCTCGTGTTGAAAGCAAAAAGGATCTAAAACCAAAAAAATAAAATATAAATACATTGTTAATCATAAAAAAATTTATGATTCGAAAAATAATTTTGAAATATTGTAAATTTGTTTTTTGGTTTTTTAAAGTTAAGGGTTTATTTACTTACAGTAACGAACAAAAGTATTTGCACAGTAAATTTTTCGCAATATAGGCAAAGTATGTTTTAGAAAAATTCCAAGTATGCAGTTTAATAATCCATTCAATTTAAGTTTATCAAAGTGCAGGTTTGAAGTTGCTTGAAAATCTGAATATAAAATTGCAAATTAGTATGCTGATTTATTGAATTTTCCTGAGTTTTTCACAAAGTTTACACATTTGATTTTTATGTTTTTTAGTGTAGTATGAACTATGTTTTTATAAAAAATTATCGGAAATAAATTAAAAATTTTGCATATATGTAATGCGAAAATTTACTGTGTCAAAACTTTTGTTCGACACTGTACATATAAAAAAATACATACAGTAACTTCTCCCGTTACAATAGTAAAAAATATGTAATTTGCTTTGTAGTGCAATCTTGCGGTTCTTAATTTTTTTCGTATCAATAAACTCCCAAGCACAGGTTTATATTAAAATAAATATATCCGTAACACTTTATTAAATATTAATCTGCATATTTTATCAATTCGTCGGAATATGCTTTTATGTATGTTACCGCATAACTTTGGACTACGTTATCCGTTTTCTATAATACTTTTTGAAAGGAAAGGTGGTTCCTCAGAGGTAGTCTCCTACTTATTGAGTGTAGATCCGATAATTGGGCCATGAAGAAAATAACGGCACTCTTAAATTTGTATATGAGATTGAAGTCGGTTTTGTTTTTTTGTTTAAATTTTACTCCAGTGTCCACAGCTTCTATAAAAGAGTCATAGGCCATATTTTTTTGTTAGTTCAATTGTGGAACATTTGTATGAACTGCTTCGGCTAATACTTCGGCTTTTATTCTCTTTTTATATCGAGGCTAAGTGCATTGTTCGATGGGGTGATACCATCAATAAACACTAACTTGACGGAGTTACAGTATTCCACAATGATGCGAGCCTCAAAAGCTTTGAATAATATTTGCGAGTATGGCTTTTAGTTTTTACCGCTCAGGCAGGTGGCAGGCCTATAGAAAATATTTCTTAATCAATAATTTTT